TGATTCACATGGTTCCTACGTTGTCTAAACTACAAAAGATTGTAATAGGAGTAGCAATATCAAGTACCGTCTTGGATACACGAAAAAGGAGGAAAAAGAGAAGCTTATGGGCTGAAGAAATTTACAAACAGAGAAAAAGGTTTACACCTCTAAAAATGATTAAGGTTTTAAGGTCTAAATATTTTCGGAGTATGTGAACGAAGAGTGTTTTTCTCAATTATTGAGTATGGTACGTCCATTTATCCAAAAGCAAAATACTATTCTGCGAGAAGCAGTAAGTGCTGCAAAAAGATTAATAGCGACTTTGAGATTCCTTTCTTCTGGTTGCAGCTATACTGACTTGATGTTCAATACTGCTATATCTCCTCAGTTACTCTCACAAATAATAAAAAATAAAAATATAAATTTCTTTGCAACCTTCCGCTAAATAAATACAATGATGTGTCTTACCTGGATTGAAGAGCACCTCCCGCCCTCCCTCAATTGCATGCACTCTTTATATTTTTATTTTTTATTATAATGGATTTCCGCAAAGTAACGCCTGATTCTATCAATTATCTCACAAATAATACCAGACACCTGTATAGCAATATATAAATGCTTAAAGGACTATTTAAAGGTATGAAATGAAATTTCCTTTTACTGTTTTATTTTTCTTTATTTTAGTGGGTGAAACTGCGAAACCATCGTTTTGTGTTTCATTCCCAGTAATCTGCAAATAAAATTGAATTAAATTAATTTCAGATGCCATCGACGATAGAGGAATGGATAGAAGTGAGCTCGGACTTTGAAATCAATCATTGCGTAGGCGCAATCGACGGAAAACATATTGCAATAAAAAAGCCGCCAGACAGTGGATCACTTTTTTATAATTATAAGAATTTTTTTAGTGTTATTCTGTTAACAGTAGTAAACGCTAATTATGAATTTATATACATTCACGTGGGTACAAGCGGATGTGTTTCAGATAGTTCTGTGCTGCAAAAGACTAAATTCTATGAGAAGTTGATGGGAGATGGGTTAAATTTACCAAGTCTGTCAACGTTAACAAATTCAAAAATCACTGCACCTTACGTTTTTGTAAGACACAGTGCATTTGTGCTTAATAAAAACATTATGAAACCATTTCCTCTAAAGAACATAGCTCACGATAAGCGAATATTTAATTACAGGCTCTCAAGAGCTGGAAATCTGGTGGAAAATGCATTCGGAATTCTATCCTCTAGATTTAGAATATTTCGTCTTGCTATTTCCATAGATATAGATAACGTGAACACAATTGTTTTAGCTAGTTGTGCATTACATAATTATTTATCAAGAAATAATAAAAAATACATTAATATAACATCTCTCGATATTGAAAATGAATCTGAAACGTCATTTAAAGTAGCGCAATGGCGTAAAAAGACAACTGTAACAAACGTAGAATGACGTGAAACACGTCCTTTAGTATCGCTTCGTCCACTTAAAAATCAGCGCAATGAGTAAGTAACTGAAGTGCGACAATCATTTACAAATTATTTTAATAATGAAGGCGTAGTTTCATTTCAAGAGCAAATGTTGTCGGTTGTACCCCAATAAAAAAAATAATTTAAAAAAAACTCTGTGTTATTTTCAAAATGAACTTACACTTCCACTACTGCCAGCACTATCATCCAAGTTATCCTGACCAGTTCTTTGTGAAAGATCTTTTTCATCAAGAAATGTAAGGTATTCGTAGTACCAAAGCTTTGGACAGTAAATATCTTGAACTCCCCGAGCCAGTTTTCATGGAATCTCTAACCTAAAACAAATAATTGAATGACGTGAGTACCGGACTTATTATTTTTCATTTTTAGTAGACATTACAGATGAAGAGTACCTAAACATTAGCCTCGCCGGTTTGAAAAAATACTCACTTTTTTGATTCACGTTTGTGCGTTGTTCTTAAATTATCAATTTTTTTTTCATATCAGCTAATGTTGCATTTTTGAAAACTTGTTTGAAAACTTTTAAAATTCTTTCATAGGACTTAGTTCTCAAGTCTCTATTTGAGTAATCTGCTGCCGAAGTGTCCCATAAGCATCTACATTCTTTGAAACACTCCAAAACTAAAACAAAATATTCGCGGTCTGTAACCGAATCTCTTTCCCCGTCCGATGACATTTCAATGCGCGCGAGTAGGTACACGTCTGAACTGGGACGCTGGTCGTGTGTGACTGTGACGCATATATATACAGTAATCTATGCTGTGACGCTATATATATCAAACTGGATGAAACGGCGGTAGCTTTTAGTAAACTAGGAACATTGCGTCAGTCCATTATCGACACCGATGAACTCTTGTCATTGTTAAAAATTATTGAACGAAGAAATAATCTTGTATTTCCTGTAAAAGTAGAAAACATTTTAAAATAAGGGGAAAGTATAGATTTAAAGTATATGCAAAGGAAAATCAAATAACCTTTATTCTACATATATCCCTTCGGTTAGGTTGACCTACCACTAATTCCATGAACCAAATATCCCTTATTGTACCCAAATACCCCTGCCTTCTGATGAAAGGGTTGAAAGCTGTTCCTGTGTGAAGAGGATTATTCATCCATGTTGATTATGACGACTCCGTGGCGCAGTGGCTTAGCAATGAGTAGCTGCGCTGGGGGTCGCGGGTTCGAATCCCGCACGGAACAAGTATTTGTATGGCCTACATATAGTTGTTCCGGGTCTGGATGTTTGTCCTTGTGCAATTTAAGTTTGTAAACTGCCCCCACGATACAAGAGAAAATCTTAGTGTAGGGGTAACTTTTTTTTAAATAAAAAAAAATTAAAGGTAATTGTGTTACCAGCCTAATGAGTTTTGCAGCAACACCACCCAATGCCGGCCCCTATTAGTAGAGTTTGATGATGTAAAGATAATGAAAATACAAACCGATCGATGAATGTTTTTTTTTTTCAAAAAATACAGTATTACTTACCAAAAAATGTGGAAATGAATACTGTATGTCACATACATAATCTCAGCCGACGACAACTGCGAAGCTAAAATTAACCGATTCAGTCTGAAAAGGCATCATGAAAATATAGAGGAATATCCGTTGACTCCCTTACCAATAATAAATCTTTCGGAAACATTACAGCTATTAATGAAAACATCTTCAAACCCAGCAGCAGTAAACCTGAATGACGTGGATGTTAACCAGTGATAGTGTAAAAAGTGAGCAAAGTGAAAGTGTCATAAATGTAAAGGACGTAAGTATCGGGCGGATCTTATATGTAATTTTAGTTATAATTGTAATCCTTTGTAAAAAAAAATGTATCGAAATTATCGGACTCGGAAAACTTCGCCCGGTAATTTCGAATCTGAGGGGGAAGAGTTATGCATCCCGGTATTCCCAGAACTGCACCGGGACCATCACAATTCAAGCGTAAGCGTGGGCGTAGATTGCGGAATTGCGTCTGGAAGACGGGTGGTCTTCGTGTGAACCCCGATAACTGTTCTTTAGTTTAATGATCTAGAATAAGAATTAGGATAGTCTTTGTAAGGCTCCCACATGTACAACGTCGTCTTAAAACATACCGGGGCTCTTAGGCACACAAGAATTTGGGGCCCAGTTGGAAAGTAAAAAATGTACGACAAAATATTTTTTCTGTTCTGGTCTAATATTTGTTATAGTTAATTGGTTAAAATAAAATAATATGTCATTAATGAGGGCATCCACGACTTTTTCTGCCACAAGGGCGGCGCTACTTTACAATGAGGTAAAATATTTGACAGATATCATTACGGGGATAATAACTTCTTAGGAAAAAGTAAACAATATTTTTTTCTTAAACTTTCTTTCAAAAAAAGAAAATATTCTATAACAATATCAATATAATTGGTTAAAATGAAATAATATGTCATTAATGAGGGCATCCACGACTTTCTCTGCCACGAGGGCGGCGCTACTTTACAATGAGGTAAAATATTTGACAGAAATCATTAGTCAGTAATCTATGGATATCATTACGGGGATAATAACTTCTTAGGAAAATGTAAACTTTAGATTTTTTTTCTTAAACTTTCTTTCAAAAAAAGAATATTCTATAACAACATCAATACGTATACGTAAAATACATATACGTGTGTTCTTTTTATTTATTACAATAAAATTTAGGCTTCACTTGTCTAAAAATAAGGATCATAACAATTATTCGCTATAAAATATAATATTTTTGTTCGAAAATTATCTAAATCATTTGCCGTCTTATAATGTACGTAGATTACATATATACACGTATATACATACTCGCACCTTCATTTCGAAACCGTTACTAAACGAAATTTTTACGAAATTGAGATAATAACGTCATCTTACTTATAACAGCAAAATCTACAGAATTAATTTGACAGATCTATTTTGTTTCCCAATATTTTCGTAGATGGCGTCAAATTAAAACGCTATTAAACTGAAATTTAAAACATAAATACAGACGAAACCGTTAATACACCAGTTGTCACCTGTCACTTAAGGAGTCGACATACAGTTTTATAAAAAAGTGTAACTATTTGTTTCACTACGGCTGACTTTATCATTAAGGTAAATTATTTACTTATTTTTATTTGATAAAGTGTGGTTTTTGGTTTAGTCACAGTTTTTAACTTAGAGTGTATACTTTGATTCTTCAAATTTTGTACGATAAACTGTTACTTTTGTATAATCCGTTTACCTTACATTCTGGATAAAATTATGACATTAATATTTACCATAAAATAGTGATTATTTGCTTAGTAGAATTTGTGAGTAAACAAATTGTAGAGTTTTTTATTTTGATTATTACAAAAGTGTGACTTTTAGGTTAGATGCAGTTTTCTATTTAACGCGGTGACAATTAGCATTTGGTGGCTGTGCGTTATCTGTCGGTCAGTCTCTAGAGTTTTATTAGGAAGATAACAATAATATTATATTATATAATATTTATTAGAATAATAATAAGACATTCTTAAAAGGTAACGCAAATTATACTTTTTGCTTCAGATAATGTCATATCTAAGAAATCCGCGCATAAAACTTATTGTGGCTGCAATGCAAGCCGAAGAAGCTTCATCACGGGATGAAAATCTTTGCCTAGATGAAGAACTGAGATCATCTACTGCAGCCGCACCTTTAATAAAATCTCATAAAGAATTAGTGGGTGTTAATAATGTACATCCAGAAAATGAGATGATGCCGGGGACATCTATGAGTGGTACTGGTTTGTTTGATATAGCGACAGAAAATTGTCTACCTAGTAACAGACCAAGGTCTGATTCTTCTAGCTCTGGTACATCTTCGTCAACTAGCACATCTTCATCGTGATCATCTAGTACATCTTCAGGTAGGTACCCAAAGATATACCTAATTTATTCTTGTTGTGTGCTTGACTGTGTTGTAAATATTTTCGCTTTTTTTTCGCTCGGGTAAGAACTTTTCCCCTGATGAAACAGATAACAATCCTGACTACGTAGAACCAGTTACACTTACACGACGTGTTTCAACATCTTCATCTAGCTCTTCTCTTCAACATGATAATGGTATGCAGCAAGTACATATCGAAGCTTTGAGTCACGAGGTAGTGCAAGAAATTGATTCAATTCAGCAGGCAAGGATTCACGAGGTAGTGCAAGAAGTTGATTCAGTTCAGCAACCAAGGATTCACGAGGTAGTGCAAGAAGTAATCTTGTTTGTACAAGAGAACATCATTCCCATATTAAATTGGTACATTAGAAATTTGTGCAAAGACGAAGTGATCGCATACAAAGGTGGTTAAGCAGAAAAACAATTTTTAAAAATGTTGACGACGAATGATAGAATTTTTAATATTGAAGAATACAAATGTCCAAAATACAATGATTTGGTAAATGTCATAAATTTAAACAAACGTTATGTGTGTAATAATCATATATTTGCAAAAAATAATCACAAAATTTTACATTGTTCTTGTAATGAAGTTTGGGTTTTTTACAAGTGGTTATTGCTTGAAAAAAAAAATTTAAATTAATTATAAATTTTGTTTGATTTCCCAAAAACATTAGTTATAGTACACAATATATATTAATTGTTTACCTACACCAACACTTTCATTTTTTATTTCACCCCTTAGAACTTTAGACGTGTGTAATGTTTCACTTTATCCGTTTACTGCTATTGTGGCAGGACCATGTGGATGTGGGAAGTCAAATTTTGTAACAAATTTCATAAAATCGGTTACAGAAATATGTAATTGTGATTTTAATCAGATCACATGGTGGTTTAATGAAATGCAACCTTTATATAATTTACCAAATGTTAACTATCATCAAGGAATTCCAAATCTTAATATATTTGATGGTGAAAACCCACATCTTGTTATTATTGATGATCTAATGAGAGAGTCCGATGGAAGAATTGTAGATATATTTACAAAAGGTAGTCATCACAGGAATCTCAGTGTATTTTATTTAACACAAAATTCATCAGGGTAAAGGGCAAAGATACATATCTTTAAACTCAAGTTATATAATATATTTTATTTTTATTATTTTTATTATTAAAAACCCTCGAGATAAAACTCAAATAAGATATTTAGCATGACAAGTGTCACCAGATAACCCAAAATTCATTGAAGATGCCTACAGGGATGCAACTCTAGAGGCGCATGGATATTTAATGGTAGATTTAAAACAGAATACCAATGATTTTTGTCGTATCAAGACAAATGTCTTCCCATTTAATGGTTTCTGTACAGTCTACGTCCCCACAAAAGAGTTCAAATACACCAAGAATCAAACAATTCAAATCATTGATGCATCGTCAACTCACAACGTATAAACATTTGCTAAACGCTTTGCATACGCTTAAACCAAAATATCAAAGAGCATTACTTAAAACGTGTGATGAAGAAGAAACTAACTGTATTTGTGAGTGTATTCATAACGTTTTACAAGGAAAAGTACCTCTTAAAGATCAGGATAAACAAAAATTGAATAAACACAAAAATATACTCCGTAAACTAGTACGTAAGTGTAAACATAAAATAAGAAAAAATATAATTATTAGAGATGGGCCGAATATGGATTTCACCGAATACGAATATTCGGGCGAATGTTAGGTAAATCTTTTACCGAACCGAATATTCGGCCGAACATTATTCGGCAAGATAACCTCGGGACCCAACCAATTTATGTCGAAACTTGTTACCCTAAAACGCGTGGGATTAGCGCAGGGTCCTGCCTCTCGCTCGCCGCCACACCTGACAGTTATTGCATCATCTAGTACTGAGCAAATTGTCGGCACATGCTTATGTTTTGACTATTCTTGTGATAAAAAAAAGTATTTCGTTGTTTTATTCTTAGCGAAAATTGATAATTATGTGATAAAAAAGGGCGGCAGGAGATTATTACTGTTTGGACTTATTTTAGAGAAACTGACGACCAAAGTAAAGTGAAATATACTATTGTTATGTAATGTAATGTTTCTTTGTTTGATTCCAAAAACATTTTATCAAATTTCTATTTGCTATAATCGGAAATAAATCTACAGTGCATCAAAAACATAAATGTATAGATTTATACATTTGAGGCACTCTAAAGTAAATAATTTCACCCATAAATAACATATACTTTCAACAGTAAAAGACATCGCATTACTCAATTCGTACATTTCAATACATTGGACACTATGAAAACGAATGTTCGGTGATTTAGCCGAATATTCGGCCGAATACGAATATTCGGTAAAGCTGCCGAATATGCCAAATACCGAATATAAAACGAATATTCGGCCCATCTCTAATAATTATACAAAAAGATAAAGTAAAAAATAAAAATAAAGGTGCTTTCTTACCAATAATATTAGGTGCAATATTGAGTGGATTAGTGAGTGGACTAGCCAGTCAACATGGAAAATGCAAAGAAAATGATACTTATCGAACCTGGATTGATTGAAAAATTAAATCAAGAAAATAAGGTTAATAGTAATTTATCTCGATTAGATTTTGAAATGCAAAATATTATGAATAGTAAGACGGAAGACCGAAAGAAATGTATGTTATATTTATAAACACCGCAAAGATTGAAACACCGAAAGACCTTCATTTTATCGAAGAGGATCGTCAACCACTTAGAATACCAATTTATTCTAATACATCTAATGAAGATTCAAATAAGTTTAAAATTGGTTTTAAAAATAAAGATCAGAGATCTAAAAACTTCAGTTGATGCTGAATCTTTATTGGAGGAGAATCGATCCATTAAAAGTAAAGAAAATGATGAAAATCCACTTTACACACCAGCTCAAATACTCAGTTTAATACCAAAAACTTGTAATAAAAAAAGGACAGTTATTATTAAACTTAGTTGAAACAAGTAAAAGTATAAAATACATTGGGATAATGAAGGTACAGTCACAATTGATAATGAAAAAATTCCTGGAAGTAATATTGTTGATTTAATAAATGATTCACTAAGACCCTTAAAAAGAAGTGATCCAGTAGGGTGGGATAGATTTGCTGAAGCATTAAAAGATATTAAAGTACCACTTACTTATATTGGTAATCCAAAGAGATGTGAGTTTATTAACCAATTTCAAGCAAAAAATCTTTACAAACCCCCTGAGATTGAAGTTCAAGAGTTTTCTACACCGAGCAGTAGAGATAAAATTTCTACAACTAAAATACGTAAAAGACTTGAGTGGGAAAAATGGACCCCGTACTAGAAGAAATTAACAGCATTTATTATGATCCATCTAATCCCGCTGGTTTTGGTAGTATTAATAAATTATCAAAAGCCATGAAGGGTAAAATGAATAAAACGCAAGTAAAGGAATGGTTAAAATCACAAGAAACATACACATTACATAAGCCCATTCGAAAAAAAATCCCGCGTAATAGGTACATTCTATCAAATATTAATGAACTGTGGCAAGCTGATTTAAGTGATATGCGAACTTATTCTCAATATAATGATGGTTTCAAGTATATACTTTGTGTTATTGATGTATTTATTAAATATACTTTTGCAAGACCAATGAAAAAGAAAAACTCAGAAACAACTAAAGAATGTTTTGAAAGTATATTTACTGAAAGTAATTTAACACCTACTCACATACAATCTGATAAAGGTACAGAATTTGTTTCAAAAGATGTACAAAAATACTTTAAATCCAAAAAGATTATTTAATATACCACTAACAATCCTGACATTAAGGCCAGTATTGTTGAACGATTTCAAAGAACACTGTAGCGGCGCTGTCGTCGCGCCACTAGCACACCGAAACACACCGAAGCCTAAATAGCGCTATTAACATTCCGAATCATAGGCAGTATATATAGAACTTCTCCGAACTATCACTTGGAGTGTGAGCCGCTCCCCGGGCAGAACACCTTGCCCGGCGGGGAGATCTCCCCTTTTCCTTCTACGGCCACAGTGGTGACCCCGACGTGATCTGAACATGCAACCAAACAAGCTTCGAAAACTTCAAGCTTCATCATCGTCATAGAATACCCCACCCATTCGCTCCCGAGCAGATATCGTCTGCAGTCTTCATATCCTGCAAGCCATCTAGCTTCATAAGGTTCATCGCAGCACTGGAATAATAATGCTTCCTGTTCCTTCAAGCTACTCTCTGCACCATAGAGTGTTCGGCACGGCTCTGAGCCTTACTGCTCGCCTCTGCTTCACGGCACTCTCGCAGATTACTTGCCTCCTTCTCGACTCACCGTAGACTACAAGGCAATCTCCTGGCACTTGCACATTCGTTGACAACGAGACTGCACTATCGACCTCCGGTCTGAGCAGGGGGGTGATGTAGCGGCGCTGTCGTCGCGCCACTAGCACACCGAAACACACCGAAGCCTAAATCGCGCTATTAACATTCCGAATCATAGGCAGTATATAATATAGAACTTCTCCGAACTATCACTTGGAGTGTGAGCCACTCCCCGGGCAGAACACCTTGCCCGGCGGGGAGATCTCCCCTTTTCCTTCCACGGCCACTTCCTTAAAAATGAAAATGTGGCGTTATTTCACTCATAATAATACTTATAGATATATAGATGTTTTACAAGATTTAACATATTATTCTTATAATCACAGCTTTCACTCTAGTATTAAGATATGCCCATGTGATGTAAATTCCAACAATATTATGACAGTTTGGACTAATCTTTATGATAGATGGTCAAACAAACTTTCTTTAGAAAATCCAAAATTTCAATGTGTGTGATTATGTTCGAATAACTAAACATAAACATGTTTTCCAAATAGGATATGAATCAAATTGGAGTGATGAAATATTTATTATATCTTCAATAATTGATAGATCTCCATGGGTTGTTTACA